TCATGAGGCCCTCCATCTCAGAAACTTGCGACGTTCCATGGTTATTCAATGCTTTGAACCCGATGTCCAAGATGTCTGGGAAACGTTGAATAGCAGATTCGTGAATCAAGGTCCATTCGAGGCCACTCGTGAGGCCGCGCTCCGTAGCAGGATGATTCTTGACCATCTCACCCTTGATCAACCTGCCACTGGGCGCTAGCTTGTTCAGCGTGCATGTGCTGTTGGCCAGGACCGCCCTCAAAAAGGCGTTGCAGTGGGAGCCTCCGAAGGTAAAACACATAATATTGTCGAAGGGAGGCAAACCTTGGTTGACAGAGTTCTCGTTGCCGAACTGCACCCAGGGCTCTGAGAACGACGAACCTCGGGAACCGAAAACTAACTCTACGAACTGATGTTTTTTGTTGTAACCCCTGGAGTCAACAAACGTTTGGACTGTGAACCTGGAGTCCTGGATACTGCAAAAGCTCCAGCGCAGGCCTTCTTGTAGCTCCACCCTGCGTTGCAATGCTTGAGCCCGTTGCTGAAGGCCTCGCCAAGCGTGACACCGATGCCGCCACGATTCTTAGGATGGGGTGCAGCGAAGTCTGCATGAACGTACTGCTTCCACATGAGGCAAGGGTAGGCCGACAGCGTGTCTGTCAATGTGTCGAAAGCCTCAACGATTTTGCCATCAGCTCTGTATTTGGCCAGCGCGACCTGGATGGCTGGTGTGACGGCCTGCAGCGCAGACTCCACCTTCGATGCCATCGCGCTGCCCTGCAGACGGTGCCGAAACAAAGGGCAGGAAGGCGTGAGCGCGAAAACTTGCGCCACAAGGCTGCGAAAACGCGACGCGGCGGTGGTTGGACTTCACCGTGCTGGCTTCCAAAAACACTTCTCTCCCACCCTCCCTCCCCCCCTCCCTTCCTTCCCTCCTAAGACGGCCCAAGGACGCTTCAAGACGGCGCTCCACCCAAAGGCCCCAAACCTTCAAGACGACCCAAGAACGCTCCAAGACGGCGCTCCTCCCAAAGGCCACCACCCTCAGGACGGCCAAATAACGCTCCAAGACGGCGTCGCTAAAGCTCTTAGCCAAGCCCCGCTAAACCTTTAGCTAAACCTTTGCTAAGCTGCTTAGCTAAGCCTCGCTAAACCTTTAGGCTCAGGGCTGTAACCGTTTACCTAAGTCAAAGCTAACGTGCGCGTCGTCTTTAGCAACGCTAAGGTAACCTGTCGCTAAACCACTATATCCCTGGAGCCGTTTATGGTAACGCTTGTAAGAGTAGCTAACATATGAGGTAACTGAAGCTAAGCACCCTAAGTGTTAGACGCTGTTGTCGGTACTTGTGAAGGTTTGCTAGTAGTTGGCAGAGTGTTACTAAAGGTTACTAGTGGGTTACTAGAGTTTGATAACCTGCTACAAGAGCACCAACGCTAAGCAAGGCGCGCGGCCATCCAAGTACCGACCACCTGCTCGCCTGCGCGACACTATTGCCTCGATTGTCGCGCGGGCCTGAGGTATGCGGGCGAGGACAGACACCTC